TAATATTTAAAAAGAAAACTACTTCATCACATTCGTCTATGTTCACTTTGTTCGATAAAATAGCCTCGACTTTCGGAATATCTCCTTTAAGAGAACTAGATTACGTGCGAAAAACTACCCTTGGCTACCGCATCGTGCAACTGCTGAATATTATATGTGGAATCGCCGTCTGAGCCCATAGTAAAACGTGGTAGGGCAGAAGGTGTGTACGGCTCGGGTCAGAAAACACAGCAGCAAAACCAAGGAATGTGACCCAAAATGGTGCATTATAAGCATCGGTTTTTTCAGTTCAATAATATTTAACGCATGAAAAGGCCTGCAGGCTAAAATTGCACTTTTGCGGTGACAGTTCCATTTTAACGTCCCTCCTTTTCCTTAAATATATTGGCACAAACTGCGAATTTCGTTGCAAATTCTCGACCTCCGAACATTTCCACCATTTTTGATATTTTGACCGACTGGACGCTGTTGCTGCTCTGAAAGACCAATACACCCGATTGCACAAATATTTCAGTCACCCTCAGGTAACTTTTCTGAAGTTTTCACATCTGTCTCATTTTCGCTGCCTGTTCTTGACCACTCTACGGAAACAACGATGTTTGGCTCGTTTTATTTTGCTAAATAACTTCATTTCCTGTAGATTTATATAAGCAAAAAAGCTCTTTAATATTCCACATCATCATAAGTTAGATATTAACATCGAACTTGGCGAGGATTCGAACGTTAACAAAAAGAGTTTGAGCATAGTGTCCGAACTCCGGACATGCAAGCTTGTAAGTTAACTATTACAATCTTGTCACGATATACCATTTCGAAATTTTAGTCACTTAAATAAAACCAGTAGCCAATCACACACGAAAGTTGGGTCTATGTCGTTAGTCTACTTCCCTTTCAACTGGCAAATGCTTAGCAGATGAAGCAGCGTAGAAAGATAAGTATCGTGCTCTATGTTTAACTCTCCTTCAGAAAGTCTTCTATCTAGAAACTTGGATTAATGAAATGAGCTAGGTTCTTAATTCAGCCACCCATCTTCTACAAGACGTGATATCCTGTGAGATCGAAAACAAGATAGATCTAAGTAATGGGGCCAGCCAAGGCAGGTGTTCATCTGGTAACATCAACGTTGTTCGGACCGAAGCGTTCCCTTTTATATATAAATGGGTAGATATAATGCCAACGAAACACATTCAAAAGGTGACGATATTATTATGCTTGATTTTTCATCGTCATTGATATTGACATTGACAA